TGTTGGTGCAAAGCCTGAAGCCTGACCCAAACTATCATATTTTCAGCTGCCTCATATGTAGGCAAAGGCTGGACAGGGAATTAGGAGGACCAAGGAAGGATTGGTATCTTTAAATTATGGCAAAAAATATTGTAATACCATGGACTGCCACAAAAAATATATATGTCTTGGAAGAAATACATCCAGAATGCTCCTTAGAATAGTGATTCCTAACCTGTGGTATGGACCTCTTTGGGGTCCCCTTTCACAGGGGTCACCCGATTCATCACAGTAGCAAAATGACAGTGATGAAGTAGCAACAAAAGTAATTTTATGGTTGGGGGGAAGGGGGTCACCACCACATGAGGACCTGTGTTAAAGGGTCACGCCATTAGGAAGATGGTGAGAGTTGTTTGTGTGTTTTAATGTACCTTAGACATTGTCAAGAAGGACCAGTTTCTGGAGAAGGACATCACGCTTAGGAAAAGAGACGGTCAGTGAGAGAGAGAAAGGCCCTCGGCCAGCTGCACTGACCCGTGGCTGCCACATGGGCTCCAGCATAGTCACCATTGTGAGGCTATCCCAGACCCGCAGAGCTTCATTCTGTTGCACGGAAGGTTGTGATGGATCAGAACCAACTGTGCTGCACCGATCCACAAAAGCTGTTTGGAGGAGCGAGGATAGAATATAGGGATGTTTCCATTCTGGGCGATCCAGGAGAATGAGTGCACTAGGCTACGGCAGTGTAAACTCGGTCTATCCTAGTGAGTTGGTTGAGGACCACCAGTATGGTTGTTAATGGCGTGGCCTAGCATGGGCCTGGATGTTATTATCTTCGGTGACCTCACACTCTCTAGTGGGGCATAGCAGTAGCCTCCAGGGAGGTCTAACAGGCCTCCTGCAGGGGTCTGGATTGATTGGCTCCTCCAGGGAAGCCTAACTGAAGGCTCCCAGCAAGGCCTAGAAAGAGTAGTATCCGCCCATAAATGATTGGTCTACGGCCCAGCAGTGGGTTATGACCCTGAAAGGGTTACATGCCTGCTGAAAGAATAGGTGGATACAGTCGTTCTTCACAATAATATTGAATGACTGTGTTCTCTTCGGGGAGTGTTGTATCTCACAAACACTCAGAAGCTTAGGTATTTGCAGTATGTGTTGAATAACAATAAAGCAGCGTTGACTATGTGCACATGGTCAGCTTCTCCGTGCTGGCATGTCATTCCAGTCTGCATCAGAAGGCAGCAAGACTAGAATCCCAGGGACTAATTTGAACCCAATCTTTTATTACATAACAGTGAATTTTGTATTTAAATAAAAAAACAACAACAACCCAAACACACTGTTTCATCCATGGCTTCCATAGAGATCACTATTGTGTCCTAGAGACCTTGAGGGACAAAACAGAACTGGCCCTTGGGTTTCCAATGCTGTCAGTCTTTACCATAGCGGACGGCTACATCTTTCTCCTGCAAAGCAGTAAGATTTGAAGCGCTGGCCTTTCAGTGTGCAACAACTGCACCACTTCAAAGGCATCCTTCCGAATTCTAGAAAGGAATATAAACTTCTAAATTAAAAGTAAGAACAAAAAAAATTACAGGAAATTTTTGAGAGCCAAAGGATTAGAGACATAGAAGCGATGTTTGCAAATCCTCCACAAGCAGCCTGTCCATAAGTTCTGCCAAGAGCAAATTAGAGGATGTCTGTTGGCTGTTCAACCGCAGCATGTGAGGTAGTTAGTTTATTGTGCCAACCTGGCCGATAAAACACGTGTGGGGTTAATTGAAGGGCAGAGGGATAAATGGTTTGGTGAACCTTGCCTTTCTAGTTCTCGGGTCTCTTGCTTTCTGATGGTCGGACCAGGGTGCAGCTGCCTTAGCCAGTTCCCTGCTTTAGCTGGCAAGGCTCACTTCCTGCAATAAATCCCCAAGTAGAAGCCACATGGACCTACCCTGATGCAGCCCTGGGTGCTGGAGCAGCCATGTGGAGAGCCCTGCCAGCACTGAGATGCTTACGCATTCACTGATTTGGCTTCCCTCCTGCAGTCGGCATCATAGTGTGTGTTTTGTGAGATGGAGGAGGACTTTGTGGACTGGTGTTGGACATATGGGTTAATGGGTTAATGTTGGACTTGTGGGCTTGGGTAGCACTGGGTTGGGATGTTTTCTTGATGCTCACTTACCCTTCATATAAAACTCTCTCTTACACATGAGTTTCTGTGGATTTGTTTCTCTAAAGTACCCAGACTGACACGTGATTGCTTAGATACATCTGGGTTCCCATAAGTCATGATGGACACCAATCAAACTTGTCTATATACGATTCAATGAATCATCCCAGAGGGAAAGACAATGTTCACAATAGCCTTCAAAATGTGGAGGTACCCCCAAAAATGTGGTGGTACCTCACTGATTCATTGTTTTATGGGGAAAGCGTCCTTGGCGTTCACAGGACTCTAGCTGCTGAAACGTCCCACTGAAAAGGAGAGCACAAGAAGGTTTGGGACAGGGCAGCTGTTGCTGGCAGGGTAGGTAATGAAGGCAGGGAGAGATCAGGTGCCTGTCTCCTACGGGTCCCTGGGAGAGATGAGCAGGAAGCCTGTTCTCATGCAGTACAGATCAGAGGCCACAAAGGGGACATGGCCTATGGCAGACATTCAGCTATCATTCCTTCTCCGAGGACAGCCCTCAACCAATAGGGTTTAGTCCTTGGAACCAAATTTTAAAAAAACAATGACTCCAGTGCTAAGCAAGACTCCATCACGGGCTGCCCTGTCACCTGGCCTGCCCATCCACCGTCATTTTGCCAAAACTCATCTTACAACTGCTGCTGTCGTTAAGTGCTATCGGGTCCACTTTCTATTCACAGCTCCCCACGCGATGGAGTAGAACTGCCCCCTCGGGCGTCCAGGCTGTACTCTTTAGGGGAGCCCATCTTCAGGGCTTTTCCCCGGCAGACCTATGGGTGGGTTCAAACTGCCAGCTTTTCAGTTTACAGTTGAGCACATAAACTCGGCCCCACCGGAGCTGTCGATCTGACAATTAATAGTAGAAGGGCAAACAAAGCCAGTTTACCCTATTGATTGCCAGGCCTTTCTTCTGAGGCACCGTGTGATGAAGGCAAGCTGCCAACTTTGGGGTTAGTTGTCATGCACTTAACTGTCTGTGCCCCCAGGGACTCCTGAGAGCAAATGATGACATTTCTGCTGTTAAATTCAGAAATTGCTCTTACATCGCTTAACATACCATGACAAGAAACATCCCAAATACTGGCCTCTCCCTACAAGTCCGTGAATAGTTTAAGAAAAAATAAATGGCCAGCCTAAGGTTGTGTGTCTGTGTCATAGAATCAGAGCCAGTTAGCTAGTTTGCCCTCCTTACCTGGTTCCTGGACGTGTTAAAGTACTGCCTGGTGAAAGCCAAGATATCTTCCGTTTCGGTCCTTGAAAGGAAGTTGGAGTCTTCTTCCGGCCTGAGGCTGAGTAGGCTGTGCAGGTAAAACGCGTACTCTGTGTGACTCAGGTTGGGCTTGGAAGAGCAGATCTCGTCCTGATGAATAATGTAATAGAGGAGGAGAGGAGCCACTCGCTGCAGCGCTTCCTCTCTGAACTCATCTTCCGAGTCTTCTCCGGCGATTAGTAACAGAGCATCTGGTTCCACGCACTAGTCAAACAGAGATCCAAGACAAGGTTAGCAAACACTCGTGACGACTCCCTCTGATTGTATCCAGGGCGAGGGGAAAGGCGGGCAGGTGCAATAGATGGATTCAATGAAGATGGTTGTGCTTTAGCTCTGACCTCATGCTGCGGCCCTCCACAAAACTCCCAAGCCCACTGCCGACAGCCTGAGGGTCTGATGCAGTGGCCCTCAGAAGGTTTACGAAGCTGCAAAGCTCCGAGAGAGCAGGAAGCCTTATCTTGCTCCTGCGGAGCCCCTGGTGGGTCTGAAGTGATGATCTACTGGTGATCAACCAGGGCTTATTCCACTACCCCACTAGGACTCCTGATTCCCGCCCAGGGAGCTCCTTTTCCCTAGGAAAGGTCCCTGTGTCTCCAACTACAGTAGTCACGAGTTGTCCGTTGGCTGTCAGGGATAAAACCGTGACCCTAGACTCTTCCCATAAAATTCAAACTCCTTATTTCTCCCTACATTGTTTTCTCTATGGTCTAGTTCCTATTGACCCGCCCTCCTGCGACTCAACTTGTTCCCCTGGGGTTTTCTGTCATCTCCACCAAACCGTCCCTCAATATGTTTCATAGCTACTTGTTCCTATCACTTCTGAGGTCCGTGTAAAGCCTCACCTCCTCAGGGAAGCCTGCCTGAACCCCCTGGGCAAAGGAGAAAGTACAAGCACTGGCCCATAGAAATACAACATGAGCCACACACACCAGCCTTCATTTGCAGTAGCCACACAGGAGCCCTGGGCAGGGGACACGGCTAAGGCGCTGGGTGGCTCACTGAACGTGGAAAAAGCTCGGAAGGGTGGCCCGGTGATCTACTGCTGAAAAGGCAACCATGAGAAGTGTGTGGGAACACAGTTCTGTTGTGACACACCTGGGCTTGCTTAAGGCTTAGCTAAAGGAAATCAATTTAACGAACACATCTGATTTCCTCTTGGAGCTAGGATGTGAGCCCTTCAACATCAATCAAACTGCAAACGCCATCAAGGAGCAGTTGTACAGTCTCTCTTACTGCACCCAATCTTCCACATCTGGTCAGTGTTCTGTGATTTCAAGCACATCTCAGGTTGGAGGGGCCACATAACAAGTGCTCAACAGCCGCATGGGGGCTGGTGGCCACCAGGTCGGACAATTCTGGTCCAGAATAATACCATTTTGATTTCCATCGTGGCACAAGTATTAAAAAATTACTTTGTCTGCTTGTGTGTTGGCTTGTCTTCTGCGTCTTTATTAGGGCAAGGTCTTATCTACGTTGTGCAACACTCTGTCCCCCATCTCTAGTACGATGCAGACACTTAAGTGGAATGAAAGAGTGAATGGTTGAATGAATGAATGAACAAATGAATGCCATCTCTCCCTCTTCCATGGTCCTAAGAGCAATGATTAAAAAAGTTTCCTGGATACCACATATCTGCTCCCAAACCACAGGCAAATCCTTGGGGGGTCTAATCCGAGCTTGCCTGGGAGAAGAGGGTGTTTGTGGTGATGTAGTGCAACAATGAGGGAAACATGGGCACAGGGGTTGTGAATGGGGACTGTCCTCAATGGGGCCGAAGCGGCCTTCCTTCATCGACAGTGGGGAGCTCTCGGGAATTCTGCTAGGGTCAGCGAAGCAACGATTACACAGCATCCGCCCCTGAGAGTAGACTTGGCAGTCGTGAGCCTCAGGGGATTTGTTCCACGATCTCTAAGTACTTTTCTCTGAGGTAGAAGCATCTGGGGTTCTAATTCCACGTCCATGTGCAACCCACTGAGAAACAGCTGGTACATGCCGTCTTCGTCAGGAAGAAACAAATGTCATGCATATCCAAAGCAAAGCATTAATCACATTCTTCACAGAGCTGAGCGGACTCCACGCCCTCCCCCACTGAACTGTAGCGGGCGGCGTGGGGGGGGCGGCAGACTTGGAACACAGGTTCCTCTTCAGTGCCAGCTCACAATGTGGGTGTTTAGCTCCACCACCTAAACCTCAGCAGCCTTTCTCTGTCCCCTGAGTGACCCATGAGAAAAATGCAAGGTTTGGTTGCCAGTGGCAAGGCTTACAGCAAAATATCAGGAAGCCATTCTTCTCATGGGGGTGAGAATTTCTGGACTCTTTTATGAGATTTGCATCTGCGAGAAAGAATCTTAGTAAAGAGAGCCTGTGGCTTCAGGAATTAGCATAAGAAAATACTAAGGCCTACTCGAGCCCTATGTAACCAGTTGCCAATAAGCAGACTACCTCACCTGTGGGTACTTCATGCCTATTAGTATGGCGCTGTGCTCCACTGGGCTTTCAAAGGCTTAGATTTCGGATCTAGATTCCCAGGCCTGTCTTCTGAGGAAACCAGAGTGGATTCAAACCTCCCATTTTTCTGTGGACAACCAAGTTCATTAACCACCATGTGCAATACCCAGAGACAATTAAGCTTTAAAGCAAGATGGAGGTTGATGATGAGTGCTAGTATTTCAAGTTTATCACTTATTTTAAGATTTGGTTTGGTTGCTAACTTTTTAAGCAAGGATTCATTTATTACAGAGAGAGAGACTTTAGTAGAATTTTGCAATGACTTCTTGCCCCTCCACCCCAAATTGGTATCAAGATCCATCCCATACAGCCGACTGAGACTCGGTTAAAGAAAACTAGACCAGCTTAGGAATACTCCACTGATTTTCTTTTAAATTGTGTCAGGTTTGGCATAAAGTGTAAAGGGAAAATGAATGGATTCTATGAATTAGGATGAAATATTTCATAAGGAAATGCATTTTGGAAGGGAAAAGAGAAGAAAATGTGAGGACAAAAGCTACGGGGTTAAATCAAATATTCAGAGACCAGAACCAGTTGCCATTGAGATCATTTGAACTCAGAGCAAGCCCAGGTGTGTTAGGGTGGAACTGTCTCCCATGGTGGATCTTTCAGATGTAGAACGCCAGGCCTTTCTTCCAATGTGCCTTCTGGTGGATCCACACCTCCAAATGTTTGGTTAGCAGCTGAGTGGGTTGTCTTTGTAACCCTGAGGACTTGGGACTGTCCAGATACTTAGCAGTAATGACCTTTCAGTCCCTGTAGTGAATCGGACTAATTGATAGGCTTTGTTTATGACTTACTCCAGGTGAGAGTCTCCTGAACAGAAAGTAATCCATCCACTTCTTCATTGGCATAATAAAACAGTGGGCTGCTCTTCGGGGTGGGAAGTGACCCAACAGCAGTGAGTTTGGTTTATTTAGCCCAAGATTTCCTTAAATGTGACCTTGAGGGATGGAGTAATGTATAAACCCATTGCCTGTGCTTCAGTTTTTAGGTTTCTGTGTAAGAAAAGCAGTGGCCAGGCATTTGTTGTAAAACTCAAGAGAAGGCTGGCACCTCTTCCTTTTTCTGCCAACAGAGAACTGGGAAGATACCCGTTGGTAGTGGGCACAGTCCCTTAAGGGCCCCACTTGATTTAATGGCATTTCTGACTGTCAAAGACATCTTCATGAGAAGAGTAAACTCAGACAAAGCCTGACACTGTGCACATCTGATTCCATGAGAGTTAGGACGTGTGTGTGTGTATGTGTGTGTGTGTGTGTGTTCATGTGGGGAAGGCGGTGGGTGCAAGTGCGGTGGGTGCAAGTGCAAGTTGAGGTGAAGATGGGCCCTCTGTAATGGAAGTTTTCCTCCTGGAATGTGCCTGCGAATCACACACAGTGTTTCATGACAAATTCTGACCCTCTGGGGCCGAGGGAAGGGGTATGGGTGCTCATCCAAACAGGAGGAGTGGGGGTGGGAGTGTGCAAAGGGGGACGTGGCGGTGCTGAGGTTCGCCTTAAGGCTTAGAATCGTTACTGTGCTTGGCTGCTAACAGAAAGGGTGGGGGTCTGAGTCCCTCCCCAGAGGCCCCTCAGAAGATCTGCTTCCCACAAACCAGCCATTGAAAATCCGTGGAGCACAGTTTCATTGTGACATGTCTGAGGTCACCACGAGTTGGAATCCACTTAGAGGCAACCAACTCAGAGGTTTGGCTTGTTGGTTTGGCAGGTGCATCAGAGGTGAGCCGTTCACAGTGCCCCTGGAAAAGGAGGGACCCGCCACTAGTGACTGTGAGATAGAAGGAGCCTAGAGTGTGTGAGCTCACATGACTGAGCTAATTAAAACACATGCCACCGAAATCACTAGGAGAAGGCACCAGTGAGGTATGATGGGGAAGCTGAGCCTACGGAGTTCATAGGCTCCCAAACTTATTTGACCTATCAGCTACTTTTTAGGAAAAGGCATTACATAACCCGCCTTTGGACATTAAAAATCATTTATTCTTTAGGCCATAATCCAGCATCTGCTTTGGGAGTACCTCTCTTTCCCACATGACTGTTCAACCTGTAGGGGCAGTTCTACTCTGTTCTATAGGTTTACCATGAGTCCTAAGGGATTGGATGGCAGTGGGCATCTCTGGATGGTTTTAGCATGCCTGAGGGTTGGTAGCACTCCCCTTGGGAAACACTGGGAGAGGGACCAAGTCCTAGCACCCATTGGGTGCCAGAATGGGCTTCACACCGGTTGTTGACTGAGTCCAGATAGCTTTCCCATCACCATGTGGGGAACCCATGGAAGACAATGATGCTCCCCTTAGCCCAAGTAGAATTCATTCTCTTGGAGTTACTAAATCCTTTACTAATTCATTGAAACTCCCCTGTAACCGTGGGCGGAGGGAGTGGGTAAGATATGACAAAATAATAATCATTTATAAATTATCAAGGGTTCATAAGGGAGGGAGAGCGGGGAGGGAGGGGGGAAAATGAGGAGCTGATACCAAGGGCTCAAACAGAAAAGCAAATGTTTTGAAAACGATGATGATGACAAATGTACAAGTGTGCTTGACACAATGGATTTATGTATGGATTGTGATAAGAGTTGTACAAGCCACAAATAATATGATTTAAAAATATTTTTTTTAAAAAGGAAAAGGCATGAAAAGTAACAACGTTCAAAGGCAGAGTGGTCTCCAATGGATTTAAATTATTGAGGGTTAATCTTGAGTTTCTATCCAGAGCCCAAATGTAATCAGGGACAATTACTCCTCTCCACAAATCCAAGACACCATTTCCCTCTTCTTCTTCTTTTTTTTCACCTTAAGAGTATGGATACATCCCTGTTAGCCACTCCTTTTACCCCACAGAATTTCCATGTGAACCCTCTCTGTCAGAGAATAAAGCCTCTAAAAAGACTCAACAACAAGCTAACGTCTCATGGTTTGCTATGGAGCTGGGGTGCTGGCGAAATCATCAGAAGCAAACACCCTTTGCTTCTCCCACCTGTTGATGAGTGCTAGGCAGACATCCCAGAGCTCTTCACCGATGGGGACAGCGCTCCACGGATTGAAGATGCCCTAGGAAGCGGGGCTGAGGTTCAGCCCTTGTTCACCTCGGTTCATGTCACAGGAAGGGGAAATGGTGGCAGCCTGAGGAGGAAAGCATGAATGGCTACCTTTCACATCCTGGGAATGAAGTGAATTCACATGATAGGGAGCAAAACCACATCAAACCTGCTGCTGTCCAGTCCGGTCCAGCCCTTAGCGACCCCGAGTAGACCTGCCCCATGGGGTTTCCAGGGCGGAAGGGCACCGTGCTTGGTGAAGCAGTAGGTCAATGACAAAAAGGCAACTCCTCAACGGTGGCCGCCACCCTGGGCTCAGACAGAACAACGATTGTGAGGATGGCACAAAATGGGGCAGTGCTTCCTTCTCTTGTCCAGGCTGGATGGCGCCTGACCACAACGATCTTTCTGGAAGCCTCTCTCTCCTTTCAGTTAGCAGCCCAACACTCACTCCACTGCCCCATCAGGGCCCCTCACATGGAAACTGGCTTGACCAAGTTTACAGAAAAGAATAGTAAACCAATCCCTCTTTAAAAAGTTAATTAAAAAAAGAACAATTCTACCTTGTTCCATTCTCCTGAGTAAAACTAATAGGTGCTCTGGCTTGCTAACCACAAAATCAGGAGATCAAAACCACCAGATGCTCCCCAGAAAAAAGATGAGATTGTCTACTCCCAGACAGATGCACTGGTCTCAGGACCCCTAGGGAATGGTGCTAGTCTGCCCTATTGGGGGGTTATGAGCCAGGATCAACTCAATGGCCGTGAGTTCCATTGGTCTGGGGGAGCAAAACTAATACTCAACCAGCCTAAATACCGCACCTCATGTCATTAGCAGAGCACATTCGCCTGAAGCAAATTCTCAGGGGACCTGACTAAGAAACAACTCCTAGTTATTTCCAGTGGGAAGTCTCCTCCCGCCCTCCCCCCCTCTTAGGTTCCTGGCTATATAAATAAAAATCATTCCAGCAGATTTGCCTATTATAACACATGTTTTCTCTTGGACCCTCTGGAGATTTTAATAATTGTTGAATTACTTATTGTTTGCACAGAGTAGAGAAAAATCCTCTCCGCGTGCAAGACCATTCTGTTATGAAAAAAAACAAAACAGGAAAGAAAGAAAGAGAGAAAGAGAGAGAGAGAAAGAGAGAGAGAACTCGATCTGGAAATGTTTTCTCCTGACCTACGCATAGTGGATAAAGTCTGCCAAAATGTATTCGGGGCTTATTTCCTTCTGCTTTATTTATTTATTTGTTTGTTCATTTGTTTATTCATGGGCTCATTCCGGTGGGGGTGGGGGGGTCGCGCGGGTCCAGACAGGCATGGTCAAGAGCCCTTGGGGTCTTGTTTGCAGCCATTTGAAGACCTGGGCCCTACAGCTTATGCTGCTGTTCCTTCCATCCCCGCCCCGCACTCCCTGCCATCCTGCTCATCCACCCTAATGGTGACTTTCAACCCCCACCGCGTTTGTCTTGCACTCCAGTGACCCGGGCTTCAGCACCACGGCACCAATGTTAGGCCGCCCCCCTCACTTCCCTTCCGGGTGTCAGGGTTTTCATTCCTAGGTGATTCTCTAACTCATTCCCTCCGCGCCACACACACATCAACCGATGGTCAGCAGAAAGTACTTAACATTGCAACTTTAGACAAATAGACAAATAATATTAATATTATTTACAAATATATTGATCATAGTATTATATTATATAACTATTATATTAATAATATTATTATTAGATAACATTATTAAAAACAATACACAGAATTAGAACATGAGAAAGAAGAGAGGATGAAAAGATCACAAGTAAATATCTCTAAGCCTGCAGCAGGGTTCAATATTTCCCTTTGAATGAAAAATGTTCTCTTGGCATGCCATCTATCTAAGGCCAAATGATTCGGTGGATGGTACATACGGGGATTATGCCTGCCCGGACATGGAAGGATTTGCATCAGATTTGCTTTGGGATCCATTAACCCCTTGTAGACATGGCCTAGTCACTGATACCAGTTCGATTGCACTGACCAGATCGCAAGCTTCTCCCATTCCATGTGTCCTCCGAGGGCACCCGGCTTCCTCCAACAGTGTTTTCAGGAGGCTGTGTGAGGTGTTCAGGCCTGCCCCAGCAGAGAGAACTCGCAGGACATCTGTCAGGCTGTCCTGAGGTGAGTGATTGTCCAGTTGGGTCGCCACAACGAGGCTGAGCAGCAGCAGCACCACCAGCAGCCTCAGTGTTGAACACCGGCGCCAGAAACCCATGTCTGCTTCCTGTCGTTTGGGTCCGTCTGGGAGGGAGACAGAGAGTAGGGTGCTCTTCCCAGGGCAAGTTTGCAGCCGGAGAAACGTCTGTGGCCAAGGGGAAAAAAGAAAGGCTTCAAAGATTTTGCCTGCCACAAGAATGAAGGGATTCAATTAATTGGCTAAGCGGATTTGCAATAACAAGGATTTTTTTTTTTTTGTAGTAACAGAGAATCTGTCGCTGTTTATAACCCTAAATGGCACAGCACTCCCAGGGCCGTACACTTACAGATCATAGAAGATTAGCGAAGGAAATTATTTAGTTGTCTCCTCCTGAACTGTTAGTGCTGTAATGTGCCCTTGAGTTTGATTCCGACTCATGGTGGCCCTGTATGATGGAGAAGAACCGCCCCCAGGGGGTTTCCCAGACTGCAACCTTTACAAGAGCAGACTGTTTGGGTTTTTTTTCTCCAGAGGAGTGGCTGGGGGGCTCACACCACAGGCCTTTCTGTTACCAGCAGAGTGTTTAACCATTGCATCCCCAGGGCTCCTTGAATGGAACACAGAGTCAAAAATTAGGGAGGGTAAGTCTCCCCGTTTATCCTGGAGGTGGAACAAGTCTTACAGAGAAGACCCTTTCCTTTGAGCTCACTGTCTGGTAGAATTCCAGATGATACTGTGTCCCTCTTACTAAAGGAGGAGAGAAGGAAAGAGAAAATAAACTCTAAAGCACCAACATGAAGTCGAGTCACAGGGTTTGAGACAACAGGGCCCTGGTGGGGGTGGGGGTCAATTTGAAACCATCAGAGACTCCATAGGATAAAGGATCGACCTGATGGCAATGAACTTGGCTTGGTTTGGTGTGGTTGGAGAGTAAGAAAATAAGCCCTTCCAGGAAGTCTTAGTTACTGGAGTCCGATCTATCATAGGAAAGCACCAGCATTTCACGGCCTTCCACACAGAGAAATCCAATCCTTCCCTCCCTGGTCGTTAGGGGTGGTCAGTATTTTGGAGTCAATGTGCTTCGAAAAAACCAATCTGCAACCAATTGCTTATGGAATGCCAAGCGTTAACAGCTTCTCGGTTAGATCTTGGCCGAGAGACGGGCTAATCATGACCGTGGGTTAGTCACAAGAATGAGGGATCGCTTCTGCTGTTTAAAAAAGAGTTTAAGATTCTTATGCTAGCATTTAAACCATGTCAGATGATCCAAACATTTCTAAACCCAATACTTACCTCCAGAAGAAAGATGAATGCTTCTTTATCTGGAGCTGCGCGCAGCCTTTAAAAACTCGGAGAGTAGTCCGTGGTGACAAAGTTCTCCTTTTAAAAATTCTTTGGTGGTGCCCTGGGAACTGGAGAGGATTATTCAGCCTGGGGAGGTTTCCAGTTGCTATGGAGAGAGCTTCTCTGAAGGTTAGAATGAAGGTGGGTAAAAGCGAGAATGCTTTCTGTCTGGCACATTTTCAGAGTAATCAAGTAAACGTGGTGAAGGGACCAGATTTTTTTTTCTAGCCATATTTACCACTGGACTAAGGATTAACTACAGTGAAAGGTGGAATGTAGATGCAAGGCTTTCATATTTCAGAACGGGAAGGCTATCTATCAGGATTTTTTTTCTTTCCTGGTTGATCTTTTGATAAATGTTCCATCTAGACTCAAACCAAGAACTCGTGGAAAAAGACTAGCTCTTGAGACCCTTCGGTATGTTGGAAGGTGCTGTTTTGTTGTGTCTTCAAGTTGCTTTGACCCGTCGAGGCCCTGTGCAGAATGAAAGGAAACCCCGTCATGGTTTCTATGGCGAAGCCCATGGTTGCAACCACTGTGTCAATCCATCTCCTTGGGGGCCTTTCCCTTTTTGCTGCCCCTCCACGTTACCAAACATGAGGTCCTTCTCCAGGGGCTGGTCTCTCCTGACATGTTCAAAGTAGGTAAGCCAAAGTCTTGCCATCTTTGCCTCTAAGGAGCACTCTGGTCTTCCTTCTTCCAAGACAGATCAGTTTGTGCTTTTAGCAGTTCATGGTACTTTCAATATTCTTCTCCAGCACCACAGTTCAAATGCACCAATTCTTCTTCTGTATCCTTTACACAATGTCCAACTTTCAAATGCAGATGAAACAACGGAGGACACCAGGGTTTGGTCCAGGGTCTCCTTAGTCCTCAAAGTAACATCCTTGCTTTTCAATATCCTAAAGAGATCTTGTACAGCAGATTTACCTAATGCAAGTCATCTTTTGGACTCTTGGCTGCTGCTTCCACAAGCATTGATTTTGGACCCAAGCAAGATGAAACTATTGAAAACTTCAACCTTTTCTCTATTGATCAGGATGTTACCTATTAATTTGGTCTTCTTTACACTGAGTTGTCATCCATACTGAAGGCTGCGATCCTCGATCTTCATTAGCCAGTGTTTTAAGCCCTCCTCCCTTGCAACAAGCAAGGTTGTGTCCTCTACATACACAGGTGCCACATTCTTCTTCATATAATCCAGCTTCTCTGATTATCTGCTCAGCCTCCAGATTGAATAAGTATGGTGAGGGGACACAACCCTGACACATGCCTTTCCTGGTTATAAATGATGCAGTATCTCCTTGTTCTGTTCACACAACTGCCTCTTGATCTGTGTACAGCTTCCATGGGAATACAGTGAAGTGTTATGGAATTTCCATTCTTCTCAAGGCTATCCAGAGCTCTATGATCCTCAGAGTCTAATACCTTTGCATAGTCAAAGAAACACCTTTGTGATAGTCTCTGCTTTGAGCCAACATCCATCTGCCATCAGCAATGATGTTTGTTCATTGCTGATGTTTCATGTTTGTTCCACATCCTCTTCTGAATCCAGCCTGAACCTCCGAGAACTCCCTATCGAGGTACTGCCACGTGTGTTGGGTGCTCTTCAATAACATTTGACCGGCATGTGACATCAGTGCTATTGTTCTATCATTTAAGCCTTCTGTTCTATAATTTAATCTTTCTTTGGAATGGGTATAAAGATGGATCCTTTCCAGTCAATTGACAAAGTAGCTGCCTTCCAATATCCCTGACATAGATGAGTAAGTTGTACCAGTGCTTCATCAGCTTGTTGAAACCTGTCAATGGGTATGCCATTCCCGGAGACCACTTTTTGGCTAATGCTTTCAATGCAACCCTATGTGCAACGGAATGAAACATTGCCCAGTCCTGCACCATCCTCACAGTTGTTCCTATGCTTGAGCCCATTGTTGTAGCCACTGTGTCAATCCGTCTCATCGAAGGTCACTTTAAGGGCCTGGCTCTTTTTTGCTACCCCTCTACTTGAGCGAGCATGATGGTCTTCTCCTGATAGCACATAGTTCATGCAAATAGTCTTCTCAGATTGAATCCAAAGAATGTGTTACATAGGTGGGTGATTCTGTGTTGAGTCCTAGGAATGGGCTACAGGAGATGCGGCAGAGGGAATTAGAAGAGAATGAGATGGGAGTAATCCATCGCACCAATCAGTCATTGGACATGAACATTGAAACCAACGGGTGGGTGATCCTGAGAGAAGGCTAACGTTATAGAAACAGGGAAGACAGAATTCGGAGAAAAATCTCAACTTCTCTTGAGTCATAACCCACTGTGCAGCACTTGCCGTGGGGTGATGTTTCTCTTGTGCTCCAGGGTAAGATGAACTGGTGTTCGGTTCCAGAATTGCCAGTCAAACGGTGGAGAAACTGAAGTTTAAAAGTCCAAATTGAGAACGCAGGGCAAACAAGACAAGCAGGGAGGGAATGGGCTCAAGACCGGAGGGGGACTGGACCACAGCACCCAAGGCTGGGGCCTTCTAAGTATCATTTGCAGGTTCAGTCTTACATCACTTTTAGACCTTGGAAGGTTGTTACTAAAGAAAACAGTTCACTATCTCCTGTCCTTCAGTGACCTCTATGGTTCTACTATAACCTGGTGTCTCTAAATTTCTGCACTCTGCTTCGTTCCTGGAATTAAACCCTCATTTCCTCACTCATTTCTAATTGGCATGTCACTAAATCGGTCCTCCATCCCAGAGACCAACTGCATAACCTGCCCAGCGCTTCAGGAGTGGATCCTGATTTGTGCTTTGCAGTCTTCTCAGGGGCAATGGTCCTGCTGATACTTGGCTACTTTCCCTAGCCCTCTATTCCAGGCCAATGACCAGCTGAGATGTCTCCTGTGGCCTGGCCTCAGAGTCCCTGATACTAGAGACTTCCTCCTTAGAGGTCCCCAATGAGTTATTGTCTGCATAGAAACTCCTTAATAAAAAACACCAGTCTACACTGCCCTCACACTTTGGCCACATGACTCCAAACTGCACGAAATCCTTATGGTCACACCCCTGCTGCTCCATTTGGCCCCAAGTGTGCTCATGGGATGATGTATAGCCAACTCTTCAAAAGTGAACCAACAATAGAAGTGTATGATGTGAAAATGTTATATCAAGAACACTACTAAATAAAAGAAACTGAAGTTGACCAATGGTTACCAGGGGAGAAGTAGGAAGAGTTTTTGCTCAGGGGGGCATTAAGTTTATGCTAATGGTGGTGGAATACTTTTGAAAAGGATATCAATAATGGTTGCACAACAAAGTATAATCAATGCCACTGAATTATACATGTAGAAGGTGGTGAATTGGAAAATATGGTGTTGTGTAACTTTCTGCCACAGTTTTAAAAATTTACACTAATAATGAGTACAAGGAAGAAGAAAATGTTTTAAAATTGATTGTGGTGATGATTGTACAACTAACTCTTCTTGATACGGTGGGACTATTGAATTGCAGGATATGTGGAAGAAGTGCCAATAAAACTGTGAAATAAAGCAAATGGGCTGGAAAAATAAAATAAAATACATGCAATGTTCCCTTATACTTCTTAAAAACTTAAGTGACTGAATCCTGTTTAAGAAAATCATGAGAATTAGCTGCAGGACATCGTGTTAAAGAACACTCATTGACCACAGCAGAGTGGTGTCTGCAGGGCGAGGCTATGTCTTCAAAAGTAAAGGAAACAGGAAAGTGTCAAGTATGTGTGCTAGTCTTAATTTGCTTATTAATAGGCAACCTCAAAAGCAAGCAATGTGAACGGGAGTCCAATGACTTTCGATCCCCTGACATTCGGGTAGCAGTGTTCCTCTTCTCTCTCTAGGGCATTGCAGCTTTAAGTTCAAAGGAGTATGTTAGCTCCTTTCATCTGCAACCGCTGTATTTAACCTCACCTTGGAAAACGATAAAGTCAATGTCAAGCATGTTCCCCAAGCGCAAGCTGTTCTCCCCACTCCAACAGAAACGACATGATCTTCTTGGGGCAGATACACCATTCAATCAGCGTGTATTGAATGCCAATGTAAGTGTGTCCGCCCAAAGGCATGACCAGAGGGCATTGCCACATAGCATTTGACTATTCGGTCCTCTCCCATGCCCCTCCTAATGAGGAGCTGTCCCCAGCTGAGTGAGGCCTTTATGGTGTGCAATTAAGGGAGTGATAAATGGGTTATAAACATGAAATGAATTTGTTTTAAGCATGTTTATATTTTCAATTCAAACCAACTTCTGGAGGTAATGAGTTGCATATGTTAACCCACTATGTAAAGTAGGAGCTAATTTACTTCTGATTTGTACTCATATTTGCAAGGCACTGAGTCCACATTTGTGGTCAGTCTCATCAGATGCAATATTTCCCTGTCTACAGGAGTTAATTCCTGCACTGGCAAGCCCTACCTGTTGAAGGTAGAGGTATCCTAATCAGTCTTTTCTTTTTTAAAATTCAGTTCCAATTATTTGCTTTTTGGTGTATCCTGAGCTTCAAACTTCTTTCTCCTTCCATATACATTAGACCCAACCCAAAGGTTCCCCTGCATAAAATACAAGATGGCATCCATTTAAGAAGAAAGCATAGCTGAGGGCCGTCTGGTACAATTGCACAGGTTGGGCATTGTGTAACCCTTTCCAGAGACCCACATTAACTTTTTGGATCATCGTAGATTTGAATAGTTATTACAACCATTTCCCCTTAGATATTTTGAAGAAAGGCCCCTTTGCTCTTTCATACACTTGCACAATCTGAGCTAATAGCCGGTGTGCAGGGCTACCTGCTCCTCACTACCCTGCCATCCACATGTGAAGACATCTCATGTATTCATCACATTCCCCCTTTACCTCTCCGTTTTAGAGGTAAAGTGTTATGGTGGAAATTGTGTGAGCAGACACGGACGACTGACATTCCAAAAGACTGTGTTTGTCACAGCACCCTATTCGGAGAGGCAGAGAAGGTGGAATTTCTT